TTAATATTAGTTACTAATAAATGTACTTGTGCTATGATTATACGCAATAAGATTTATTAAATTAATTTTAATGAGATTATTTATACATTAAAATTCTTATATATGTTTAAGTAAGTTTAATATGTAAGTAATATATTTTATTTCGAGCTATATAATATATGTAATATATTACATGCCAGTTTCATCTATCATCCATGACTTAAACTTATATTTCCTTATATTTTCCATTCCATAATTCAATATTTTCCACATCCATCAAATATGTATAATGCAATTTGAAAGGTCGTATTGAATATTAATTATAAGAGTCGTTAACTTGCCTATTAATATGGAAATCGGTATTTTGGATGTCACCTTAATAATTATAATTTATTTATACCTATCTTACATTTCTTCTTCTACCTGGCAATTTCCCAGCGATAGCCAGGGTCTGCCTTATATGTTGTGAATAGTTTTTGGCTATTTGTTTTTACGACCGGCCGCCTGCCTGACATCAACCCTCTTTTTTGGGAATAATCTACATCTACATTTATGTCATGTTAATTGTTATTTTAAAATAATTTAATTACATTATTACATGGTTATATGGATTAAGTTATGTATAAAATTGTACCTATATATGTATATGTTAGGGTGGTATATATTTTTCAGTGTCAAACATAACATAGTATATAATGTCATGTATTTACAAGGTCTGCGGTGATTTCGGCCGTGCGTTGGCTGGTCGCTCGCGTTTTCGGCAGGGCCAGTAGATATATAATGTTTGACCTTCACTCACCTATGATTCCGCCCATGATAGGTAAGCGGCGAGCTCCTGAGAGCACGCGGCCATCTCTCCGTTCACCTTATCATAACTGATCACAACACGACACTCATATCAATAGGCGTGCGATCCCTAAACGCAGGCTTCATTCACTGAAGAGTCACTGAAGCCCGGGCGAATTTAGAACTGCGCAGAATCCGACGTGAGAGACATCTACGTTCCAGTTTCTTGGCCACGCATTCGGGTTGGGCTTCAGAGGTCACACGGTCGCTGGAACCTAAGATATCAAATAAACAATTCCCGCCTCGCTTGTCAACTTTTATGCTTGCGTGTTACAGTTGAATCGGCTAATAGAGTAGGCTGGTTTGATGACAGATTTGCAGTTTCATTGAATAAACATCTTTCATGATAGATTTGATTTTGTGTATGTTTTCGATGACACGTCTGTTGCGAGTAGTTCTTTCGCTTTTTAAGACATACCTTACAACACTACATACTTACTTAAGCAATATGAACAGTTTTAGTAACAATCAGAGTATTTTTTTGAACTTTAAAAGAAAAAGATGATTCAGTTCGTAATAATTTATTAAAGTCACACATTTTATCAACTTCATTCACTTTCCAAATACGAAACAGAACTTTCGAATCTCTATTTGAAATTAATATTAAATTTTTCATTGCTTTTCTATACGATGTCTCAAAGTAATAAAAATTTTATCATATTTTATTAAAATCGTAAAGTCTGAAATAAAAAAGCATGTAATAAAATAAATAGTCGTTTAAATATACATACGTATGTCAGTTTTAGTCGAGTAACATTAAAACAGCGATTTCTGCTTTATTTCATTTCTCATACCATAAAACATAAAACTCTGCCAGGTTCTTTTACCATAAAAACAAACCAAAAAAAACTTTGATAATAATATGCAAATTCCTATCCTCCGAGTAATATCATTTTCAACTTTTTTTATTTAAACTTATTAATTTTGTGAACTTAAAAACAATTTCTTATCTTTAATTTTGTTGGTAACATCGGAACAGCTTAAAGATTAGCATTAAAATTTTCTTTTATTTATTGCAACGAATTAAATCGGAATGTCTTTTGAAATATTTTGGCAGAAACTATAAGTTTTGTAACCCCATTCCATTGCATTTTAACAACATGAAACCCTAATTAATTAATAATATTTGGATATTATTACTACTGATTAATTATCTGTTGGAGAAAGTTTTATTATTGTTACATAGATAATCTAAGACCTCCATTAACACAAATGTCAATGTCAAACTAATAAAAACACAACTACCATTATTTAAATGTAATAAAATAAAGAGATATTTGGGCGTCGGCGTCTAATTCAGACATATTTTTTATATTCACTATTTTTAAAGCACGTTGTGCTAATAATACTGACGATTCTCTGAGAAACCAACATCCCCAAAGACCATGCTATCAGGGTCAATAAGTATTACGACTTACGAGGTTACTAAGAATAAGTTCGTCGTAACTTTGTAGGTGGTAGAAGTGAGAGCGAGAGGTATAATAGCTAAAACTTTCTACAACCTACTAAAAGATTTGAGCCTGTCCAGAACTAGCATCATTTCATTATAGGAATGTACTTCGAAGGCAGCCCTAGTAGGTTCATTTCAAATTTTGTTTGGTAGAGAGAAGAGCAAGAACGTAGGAGTTAAACGTTTAACGCGCGTTAAATAGGTTTCCCTTAAACCTACACCTGAGTCGCAAGTCCCAGGCACTATTGAAGCTCCTCTCACTACAACGATGGACCCGACACCCGCACGGTGAATACATGGTACGATGAGAGGTTTCGTCTGTTTTAGATTCTTAAATTTAGAAAGGTTATTTAGAGAATTATGTAATTTTTTCGAATAATAAATAAAAGCAAACTATATAAAAATACAAAAAAAAGTAATTTTATGAATTCAGTACTAATAAACTAATCCATTATGTTATTGGAACTTATTTTCCTACGACTATGAGAGGCGTCAATTAATAATAAATGGATAACTAAAAAATTCAATAAAATTATGAAAACGTGGTAAATGTGAATTTAAACAAAATAACTGTCCGTAAAATTCAAAGTATAAATCTACCCGATATCATTTTTGAAACATTTCAATTTAAAACAATATAAAAAGACGGATTGAATTTTATTAAATATTTCCAGTCTTTACTTTGGTAACCTTGAAAATGGGAATTGTAAACTGTAAACTATTATGAATCGCAACTGTTTATGTATAATATTAAAATTAGTTAAGTTCTTATTAGGCTTCAATGAAGCGCCTGTTGTAATAATATTGCAATGTGTAACAGAGTTTTTTAAAGTCGCTAATGAGTTGTAAGGTCACATAAAAAAATAATATACGTGTCAGCATTCACATCAATGTTCTGAGTTTTATCTTTTAGAAATATGTATATCAAAAACCTTCGCGATCCCTATTATTCAGCAACTCTATAACCTGATTCTAAAACAGTGCCATAACTATGAGAGTATTTTTATTTTATTTTCTTGCCGTGAAATGCATTTGTCTATAAACTCAAATTACGAGGGTAGTTATATAAGAAACATCGCCCAAAAAACTGTCCTACCAACTCACAACATAGCATTAAATTACAATTTAAACTCATCACTGAGCATTCTTCCAAAACACTTCATAGGTAAGCTATACAAGACGATAGAGTACTTATAACAAAACAGCCCGCGTTGTACGGCCTTATTAAATATCCTCACTACCCACCCTCGCACATGTTTATAAGATATGGCAAGATTGGTATGAATTTCGATACCTATATCATCAAATTCACGAAGACAGAGACGCTTCCTCTTGAATGATATCAAATCAGTATTAAGTATGTCTTTCTTTTTGTATTGACTTTAATTTTAACGATAGAAAAACATCATTGAATACTTTTAACACATTCCCAGAGCGAACTTAGTGTAAAGAAAAGCTGTGATTCAGATGAAGACAATGATATTTTACAAATACATGTGCCCATTAGATTCTTTTTGGTATTATTTCATATATTTAGTCGTTCTCAAACACATAACCTCTTCCCAGGGAAAATCTTAGTAAATTAACAAGAATTTTTCAAATCGATTTACTATTTTCTAATATGTACATCCAAACTTTGAAAGTCCATAAAAAAACTTTAAATATTAACGTTCATACTACATATTATTAGTAATGGAATACTAATAATTGATTACTAAATTATAGTTGCTTCTTCTCTAACCTATTAGAAAAATATGGTCTGTTGATGTTCCATTTCATACTGAAACAAAAAATAATCTTTGTATTACTGAACATTTCATTGAAATCAATTAATTTCTGACCGTCCAATTATCATATAAGTAGCAACAGTGAGCAAAATATAATGTAATCATTGCCACTTACATTAACATTGATATGTTTTTTTTTATTCTGTTATGCACGTTTAAAAACGAACCAGTCATATTATTTGTGATAGTCAATCTATAATTATTTCTGTTACAACTTAAACATATACGTAAAATTTTATGTTATCTTGTTTCAGATTTTTAAACTTATTTTTTCTTTACCTTTGAACATGTCCTTTACAAAATCAGGAACTTCATCATATCAACGTCTTTACTTTTTTTATTACATAATAATAATGAATATATATTTTAATTTGAAGACTGTAATTTAGAAATGTTGATTTAAAAAAATGATTATTAATTTTATCACATATAAATAGCACTTTTTATGTCATTTGAAATAAATCATTAACTTAAAAGTCTAAACATTTTAATTTCTAAATATAGAATTATTTAAATAATTATTAATTAAAATAACTACATACTAATTGAAATATAAATATATTTTTTTAACATTTATAACAACAATATGTAAATACTAATATCTACTATTTATATGGCAACTTTGTAATTCAAATGTCGCTGTCTTTATAATCTGTATGTCTTTTTAGATTCGATTCTTTGCCGTGTCGTTTCGGGTACGTTAATAAATCCGTAAAAATCTCAATAGGCGGCTTGTTATACTATTCCTAAAGTTTATATTACATTTCATAATTCATAAACTTTATAGTAACATGATTATTTTCCGGATATATAAGTTTTACGATCGTTATTTTCGTCGCGGCAACTTGACGTTTAGCATGCATAGTTTGTTAACCTAATGTTTTCGTAACTGTGGTATATAACGTGGTTATTTTGCGTTCACAGCGAGGGATACCAGTATGAAGTACAATAAGCTGGTAACGTCCTCCAGGAGGAAAAACAGGAAGAGGCATTTCAGTGCTCCTTCCCATATCCGACGAGTGTTGATGTCTGCACCACTCTCGAAGGAGCTTAAACAAAAATTCAATGTTAAATCTATGCCAATCCGCAAGGACGATGAAGTACAGGTAAATTAAAACACAATATTCTTTATTGTTTATTATTATCGATCTTTGTATTCCTGTAATATCGCCCTATATGCATAAGAGGTTAGCATTCTAAATTACTCTAAATACAGTTCTGTTAATTCCAGTTTAAATGAATGTGTGCTTAATTATTATCTATATCATTAGACTTTGTCAACAATTAAACTATATTGATATCTTTATTCACATGTGGTTATTATTTACACCTAAAAATACCATAACTTTTTGTTCTATAGTCGATTTCATTCATAAAATACTATTTATATGATGATACAAACCATTCACAGACTGTACTGTATAGTATACTCTAAATGTTTAGCGCTGCAGGTTTTCTGTAGTGCTTTCATGAAGAGCATACAAACATACACCATGGTTCAAAAATTGGCTCTGATACAATATACTCAAATTATATATACAAGGTATAATCATTTCCTGCTCTTATATATTGGTGAATATTTCAGGTTGTACGTGGACATTACAAAGGCCAGCAGGTCGGTAAAGTAGTTCAGGTTTACCGTAAGAAGTTTGTTGTCTACATCGAGAGGATCCAGAGAGAAAAAGCCAATGGTGCCACGGCATATGTCGGCATTCATCCATCAAAGGTCAGTATTTCATTTATATATGGTAAATTTCAGGTCCATCGTGTTAGGGAGAGGAGCTTCAACAGTGCCTGGGACTTGCAACCCAGGTGTAGCTTTAAGGGACCCCTATATAACACGTTAAACGCTCACCTCCACTGTCCAAGCTCCTCTTTCTACCTAACCAAATTTCAAATGAACTTGCTAGAGTTTCTAAGTATGTTGCAAGAAGTTATTTCTTTATAACTACATTGCAATCACATACTTTTCTTATATATAATATTATAATGATGATACATTATTACTAAGACTTTGTCGATTGTTAATTTGGCATGCCATATTAACATAGACATTGTTACTGCTGAAACACTTCCATGGCTCTGATATAGTAATTACCACAAACATATTTACATCTAAAGAGACACAAGTATTTAAAATCATAATATTTCCAGTGTGTTATCGTCAAATTGAAGATGAACAAAGATCGTAAGGCGATACTGGATCGCAGATCAAAGGGCAGACTCCTTGCTACCGGAGGAGGAAAGGGAAAATACACTGAGGAACAAGCTACAGCTATGGAGACCTCGTGAACATAGATTTAAGAAATATAAAATATAAAACTCAGATATGACTTTTATTTAACTGATTATAAGGAAATTTGAAAGAAGTTATAATTTTGCTAATAATAAACTACTAGCTTACCGCCCGCAGGTTCGCCCGCGTGGAGATCGGTTATATCGCGTTTCCAAGAGAACTTTCAAAAGTCTGGGATAAAAACTATCCTATGTTCTTTCTCAAGGTCTACTCTATCTCTGTACCAAATTTCATTAGAATCAGGCCAGTGGTTTAGGCGTCGCAGCGTAACAGACAAACAGAGTTACTTTCGCATTTATAATATTAATAGGGATGTACATATTTTATATACACTTTATAATTCACCTACAGTTTTCAACTAGTATTTCTAACATTGGGTATAGGAATAACAACGAAATTTTTTTTCATATAGGTATTATATTTACTAAAATCTTGCTATTTTAAAAGTTATCTAGAGTCTGGATTTCAGACATATTGGAATTAAAATATTCGCTTTGATGCCTCACTCGTATGGCTGAATAAACTTTGTTACAATTTACTTTACTACCGCTAACCAAAAAGAAAATTAACTTAAAAATTGTAAATAATAATCTATACTAATATTATAAAGCTGAAGAGTTTGTTTGTTTATTTGAAAGCGCTAATCTCCGAAACTACTGGTTCGAATTGAATAATTCTTTTTGTGTTGGATAGTCCAGTTATCGAGGAAGGCTGTAGGCTATATAACATCACGTTGTTATGGTACCTAATTTTGTCGAAATAATTTGTTTAAGTTGTATCAAAATAATAATATTAATCTTTATTCATATAAACAAATAAATATGTTGTTGGTTGATTATATAAATTAATGTATTGGAAATTGCTGGGATATAATTGTGGGAAGCTTAAAAGTTATAAAGTAGAAATATAAATAGCTTTGAATTAAATTGAAACTAATATTTGTAATTATTTATAATTAATTATACTGAACCTAAATTAATTTCGTGATAGCAACTATAGGATATCAACGTGTATTTGAAAGCTATACTGACTTCGGCCATTTTGTAGGACCTACTAGAAATAACGCCGAACATTAAGCATCAAAACTGACACTACAATGAATAATATAAGTACTAAGAAATTCCATCGGCTCCAATAAAATGCTTTAAATGGTTGTATCGAAAACCAATAATTTACCTTCACAATAGCGAGCTTGTACTGATAACTTGAATTTCCAAAAGAAATACATTTTAAATTTACATTAAATGAGTTTTATAAGGCATAAGCTAGGAAGCACGATGGGATTAGGAATAGTTTAACGAATCCAATTTATTTGAATATATCTATTCATGCTCTAAGTAAATAAACTTATCACAAGTTTCTCAAAAGTACTTACGGGCCGTTTAGTTTTCCTTATATAAAAAATTACATATGAAAATATTGATATGGGTTTAAGACCAAAAGAAAATCTTCGACGATGCTAACTCCTGTTAATGACAACAAAATTAGCTTTCAAATATTATTGATGCAGGTTTTTTTTGCAGAAAGTTGTATAACATCAAGTACATAATTACGAATGCACTTATACATTCACATTTTTATACATTTACATAGTTCGTACGAATGGAATTTTATTAGGTCAATAACGCATGAAGTATTAAAATAAAAAAATATTGTTTTTTTTGCTTAAATTATTTATATTTATTTCTGAATTGCATATAAATTTGTGGACTTTCTGTTACAATAGTTATCTCGACTGACATCTTTGTATAAAACGCTAAAATATGTACGCTATTGTACTAGAATACCAGTCAGCACTCGACCCAAACAGAAAATTCACACGCAATAATTTATATACTAAACTTATATTCTCTTTAGAAATTATACTATTTAAAAATACAATCTAAATTTAAGGTACTTAGATCACCTAAGATTTGCACACACACACTCGCCGAGCTTACATACAACAATATTCATCCTTGTACGGAAAACATTTAACAAAATGTAAGGTCTAACGTATTTCAATAATATTTATTGAACGCTAGTGATTCAACGAACGATCAAAAATCGATTATCGGTTCTCATCCAACGCTTGCTTCCATAGTGTACATAATTCTATTACATTTCACTAAAAGATGAACATTTTTAAAGAATCATTTGGTATACAAATGTGTTACTAAAATGATTGGTCCGAACAGATAGACTTTTAGAATTTCCTTCGTTCAATACATGTGATTTAAATATACTAATTTAAAAAATAAACACAATTCATATCAAAATAATGTATGTAGCGGTATCATTGATATATTTATCTTCTGTCACCGATTTCGATGTTTTGTACAATAATTTCAAACGCATTAAAATCGTTATTACTATAATGTTTAGAATTTTAATAATTAACCTTATACAAAATAAAGAAAAAACTTATTAATCTATTGCTTATTTTATGATCGAGGTGAAAAAACCTCATAACGCACTAACACAGAATGATGGAGACAATCTAGTCATTCCAAACATCCAAAATATATGATATATGTATTTAATTATATATATTTTTTATATTTACATTGCTTGTTAATACATAAAACAATTCATAATGTATTTGTGATGTCAAATCCTAGTTTGCAACAACATTTAAGACACATTTTAGGTCATAGTTGATAATCCTACTGAATTTAAATTGACGGACATCAAAGACTTACTAGTTTATTAAATTCTTATTTATCACTATTAAAATGTTCACTCTCATTAAACTATTAAATGTATGAACCTTGTGCTATCGTTGTTTCAATATGATCAATTTCGTATATAAGAATTTACTTAATGTTAAGAATGATTTCAATAATTTTCGTAATAGAAACGTATATAAAATATTACCAGTAATGAAAAATACATAAAAAAAGTAAAGAAGTTAAATAAATATTGTTACAAAATGCAATCCACAGACAAAAAAAAGGTATGTACAGTTTTCACTTATAATTTAACACATTGATTTATTGGTGACAGTAATTAATTTTTCTATATAACTTTATATGAATCTTTTACAATCTTCAACACCATGAAGAAATATAAATGGACTTTATTTTTGTCATTTAAACCAAATACTTCCTGTCATGATGTGTAACACTAGAAGGGGATAATTTACTACGGCAATACTTTTACATAACAAACAAATGTGTGTGAATAAAATAAACCGGTAAAACTTTCTGTCCTCACAAAATAACTGTATAACATAAAGAAAAAAAAAATCAAGAAAACTTTACAGAAACACCATTAAAATATCATAACAAAAATATAACTTTCTTTGCAGTATGTTGTGGCAGCTTTCAGTCCTTTTGTTAACATTAAACTGTGATAATTAACGTCAAGCCAATAGAAATATATCTTAAATTCAAGACACTATTGTTATTCCATAAACTTAAGTCACCATATGAATTCAAATTTTATTCTGTCTACAACTACTAGTTTTGAGACTGGCTGAATGAAAATGATATATTTTTTTATAGCAGCACAGATAAGACAATAATAACTGTGACGTTTTAATGTAACCCAAAGCCTTGACGTCAATCACTACAGTTAGATGACAGCTGATTTAGTATTCACTAGCTGTCATCGTCTATGTGCGAACAGCGGTCACTTGTCTCTCGATAGCTGCAGTCTCTAAACTGGCAGCTGTCATCGGTACTTTGACAGCTGTCATCGGTACTCTGACAGCTGTCATCCGTGAGCTGACAGCTGTTGTGACGGCCGTTTTGACAGCTGTCACGGAGGCAGAGTTCGTGTTATTTAGGCAAGCGGCGGGATCTGCCGGTTTTGCCTGACGATGTTGATGGCACTGGCACTATAGGCGATGCCTTGTTCTCTGGAATGAAATGATAAGTGAAAAACGATTTAAAAAAATGTAATATCAGCTAAATATTAAATTATATACAATATAATGGCACTTTGTAACAAATATAACACTATAATTTCTTGACAAAGTTAAAAGGATCGACAAGTTTGATTGATTTATAAATAATTTGTTAATCTGCCTTTAATATATAAATATATCCGGGATAAAAAAATAAGTTCTGACCACTTATTATATATTTTGGTAAAACCATTGATTATATGAAGAAAATCACACTTGAATGGCTATTATAGCAGACACTAGTAGATATTAGATCTATTTCTTAATGAAAGGGGTGATGATTGTTACCAATTGCGTGATTTGGACTGGCAGTACGATTTAGCTTTTTTGGCTGATTTTACTGGTAACCTGAGTAACATAAAATCTCAATCTACAGGGAAGGAATAAAACATTAATAGAAATTATGAGTTCTCTGCAGCGTTTCAAAGTCAAACAGAATCTATGATAGTTGACATAGAGAAGAAAAAAATCGAGCAATTTAGACCAGTGTCGATAGCTTTTAAAACATAAAAAAAATATAGTAGGATAAAACCCAATAGAAAAGGGGGGAAATATTATAAATGGAAGGAAAATAATTTACGGGGATCTGAGGTCGGTTCTAAACATTAACCACAGTGATATCTATGAATTTTCTACAAAATTTGCAGATACATGTCAAATGAACCAAATGATGTTACAAAACGAAATCATTACTATCCGCTGCGACATATTTCTAAAAGCAAGGTCTTCCTCAGGTCAAGATTTCTGGGCACTGGTTTCCAAAGAAAAATATCCAAATTTGAAAAAATGTGTTGAACAACTTCATTCGTGTTTTGGTTCAATATATTTATGTGAATCAGCATTTTCCTAATTAAAACAAAACAAAAGTAAACACCGTTCTCGCTTGACAGACCCTCATAACCTGATTATGCTAAACTAGTGGAAAATGTTCAGGTGCAATGCTCACACTAATATATAGGACCCATGTAATGTTAAGTAAATTTAAGAAAACGATCTCACATGTGATATGAAAAGAAACTACTAAGACTGGTTAATAAAAAACACATGATTGTGTACTAAACTATGCAGTTTCATTTCAAGAAGTATGTACTTGGTTGATCGCACAGGGTTTTTTAGTAAACAGTAGATCTTAGGTCTTATCAAGTTGGCCACCCCTGATATATAGTATCTCAGAGAGTTTAATTTTCAATTTGTATGAAATATCTAGTACATATAATTTCAATGTAAACCTTTAGCAGCCCGTCGACCTCTCTGTGTGGCAGTCGGTGTTTCTATTTTCGTCTGCTTCGCCGAAGTTCTCTTAGGAGGAGTCTTCTTTGATTTCTCACTCAGAGCCGTGGCAGTCTGAAAATTTAATCACTGATAAACCAACACCTTTATACATTTTTTCATATCACTCACTCATTACTATATAAAGTTAATAAAATTTTATCTTTACAATAACTTCCCAAATCATGCAATTACATGCTAGAATAATTAAAAAACCTGCAAATCACCAAGAAATAAAATTATAGAAAACATTAAATAAATAATAATAATAAAAATAAAACAACACAAAAAGCAAGCAATGATAGATGAAAGTGAATGAAATATAGTTGTTTAGAATATTGCACAAATACAATATCAGAATCCTTTTAATTCTGTATCCAGAAAAGACGAAAAAATTCATTATTTATAATTTACATCCTCAGTTAACTCAGCAAATATTATATTGTTTAAATATTTATCTCTTATATACTTAAAACATAATTTCATTTATATGTTAATATTGAACCAAAATTATAAGACCTATGTTTGTAACAATTTTTAGTACAACTGTATGGATGATAGTGAATTGCGATGGTTCATGAAATAATAGAAATAAATACCTCGACCCATACAACTGACATTGTATTCATAACTTTCATTGCATGCACATTTTATATAAGTACACTCGTCCATTCAAATCCATTCACTAACTAACTCGGCCCGGTCTGCTTTGCTTGTATATTTAAAAGTAATATTATTATATTATCAAAACCAGTTGATTCAAGATTACTTCGAGACAAATAACAATAATAAGGCTCTTAAAATAATCAGCAAAACAACATCTAACAACGACAGCTATGAAAATAATATGAGAATAAAAAAAAATTAGAATCCAAGTCAGAATAAAAATTAAAAAAAAAACAAATCTCGAATCAACTGTCATCTGTCAATCAACAAACGTCACTGTCAAAGCTTCGCGGCCTCACACGCCTAGCTCACGTATGTAGTAGATGGCAGCAGATACGTACATTTCTATATATCCGTCGTACTATGCCTACCTTGCTAGAGGTCGCCACTGTGGGCGTACTACCTAAAGATTTTCGTTTTTGAGTTTTTGGAGCGGATTTCGCTTTGCTGACGCTTTTCGGACTGCGTTTTGGCATCGTTCGCGCCTTTTTGCTAGGCGTCGCCTCTTCCTTCTAACAGGGAAACATAATGACAGTGTAGAAGATAATATTTAGAACGAAAAACATCTTCATATTAATGAAAAGAATTTCTCTTGCAAATACAAGTTAGAAGTGTGCATTTTTACTAGGTTTTTGATCAAAAATATTTGTGCGTAAGCAGGCTGAAGTGAAATTTAGTAATTAACTATTACCATCTGCTTTATGTTAGAAGTTTTAAACCGTATCTATACCGTATAGTATGAGAGATAGTTTTTTGACTTAGATATTAATATTAGCTCGAGGATTACTCACTGCAGTCTCATTAGCGTCACTCGGAGAACTCTTTGAGCTGTTTCGTTTACGTGATTTCTTCTCCAACTGTGATTCGTCCGTATACAATGATAGGTCCACTGGAAAATTATTTAAATACATTATATTTACCTGTTGTGTACGTATTTAATATATCGGTAGGTTAAGGTAAATAGAAAAATAATGGGATTAATATAATATTTTAACCGAACTAATGTACTGAAACTCTAAAACCAAAAAATTCGTGTAGTACATATGTCCAAATTATATATTTTTTTGTATTACATATCCAATAAAGATAATTATGGACGTTGGTTCCCGGATAATAAATGTCTTTCTTTATCCAAGGGCATGAGGAAGAATATAACTTTAAGCAAATTAAAAATTCATGTATGAAAGAAAATGACGCCACAAAATATTTCGCAGCTATTGTTAATCAAGTAGGTAGGTATGCTTAGGCCATATCAGTTATTATGAGTCTCATCCCAAATTAGTTATTTGGACTATTGAAGACATCTTTCTCTAGCCTCATTAGCAGTCTGATTTCTCGTAAGATCAGTACTTGAATGCATAGAATAACATTGAAGATAACATGGTTGAAACACCACAATTTAAAAGTTTATAACCGTCAGCTAATATCGTCGTCTCAACTTTTCTCAACAAAGATAAGGAAGTAGACGAAAATACATGTTGGCTATTGATTCGCCGTATGAATAAAAAAGGAACTTAAAGGTAGTAAACAGTAGAGGGGCCTAGACACATCAACCTTATTTCATATTATACAATGATGTATAGAAACTATTGCCAAGGATATTATCCCTACTGATATTATAAATGCGAAAGTAACTCTGTCTGTTACGCTTTCACGCCTAAACCACTGAACTGATTTTAATGAAATTTGGTACAGAGATAGAGTTGACCTTGAGAAAGAACATAGGATAGTTTTTATACCAGACTTTTGAAACGCGATATAACCGAACTCCACGCGGATGAAGCTGCGGGCGGAAAGCTAGTTTATTATAAACCAGTATCCTTACTTCTACGATAGAGCTAAGCATGCTAAGTATATTCTGAGCGACAAACAGACTGATCATGTCAGATAGATAAAATATAAAAGTAAAATCAAATAAAAACAAAATTATATAATGTCAAGTTTCAAAGAGTAAGTTAGATACTCAATAAATTTACTTAGCTCGTAATACAAGTTGAGAGGACAAGAAATTGAAATGTAAGACTTAAACATATTTCTAAGATGGTCGCATTACAGTACCACACAATTGACAAAATTTTTGGAAATTATAACATTTTTACTCAGCTTTATTATTAATTGATAACAAGTATCATATTCAATTTGGTTAAGTAAATAAGTTGAACCCCAAAAAAATCACCCTAATGTAGGTATTGTATACAAGAGTTTTATTACATTAACTACATCAATTTTAAATGACATTAAACTATACCGAGAAAATGGTTAATACAGGAATTGAACTATTTGCAATTATACAGTACATGATGATTAGCAGACCGAGATAAAACAACACTTATATGAAAAAGTGGTCACCAAATGACCAGAAATAATATTCCAATAGTTTTGTTACACAGCAAGTTGTTATGAACACTAGATTTGTCTTGAGTAACAATTTAATATTTTAATTGGGCATCTTTTACTCATAAACTTAAAATAACATAGTTATAAAGATAATTGGATCCCAATGACTCAAAATGAGGTAAAACTAAAAAAAAGTTTTATATTTTGCAAATGAAGGCCCTTAATATGGCAAATTAAAAAGGATTTTATATAATCAATACGGGATGGTTATCGAAAAATTTCAATAAGCCCAAGGAGATGCACTTTATTTTAGCTTCACTCAAAAAAGCTATCAGTACCAATTGAGTAAATCATTTTTTTTTGGACATGAGCTATGTTTTGGGGCCCTAGAATTGACATTGGTGATCTAAACAAATTATTGATGAAAACCACCCCAGAAAACTGAGCTATCTGACAGAAAAACCTTGATTCAATCATACATTTGGTTTGCAAGATCATCTCAATGGATAATAACTTGATTCTCCTACACCATTCTGCTCACTTTACTCTAAGTTTTAATGTATACTAAAAATACTAAATAACCCACTTCTATTTTAAAATATGAATAATAAATAAGTCTTAGTATTTTTGTTTCAAAGACCATTCTATATCGTCAGGGATAGTGCAAATCCGCGTAACTACCATTAGATAATTCCGTGTATTTACATTGGAAGCCCATTATAAGGAGAATGTTTGAGCTGAAATATTTTCTATATTACCGACTTTTAAGATAATTTTTACACAATTAGTAATTGTGTAGTGTTTATTATCCTACTAATATTATAATTGCGAAAGTTTGTGAGTGTGTGTGTATGTTTGTTACTTCTTAACGCCCAAACGGCTGAACCGATTTTGATAAAATTTTGTATACGGGAAGCTGACGTCCAGGAATAACACATGGCTACTTTACATCCCTTAAATCTTGGAAATCCACGGGTAACACCGCGGGGCGCAGCTAGTTTATTCTAATTCTAAATTTATGCTATCTTCTATCTGCTTCTAATGTAGATACGCGGAATTATCCAATGGTAGATACTCGGATTTTCACTATCCCTAAAGTTATATTACTTACAACCATCGGGATGTTCTTCGGTGAGAAGCAGACAGTTATCCCCGCGCTCCGCCCCCAGCGCCCTCTGTAGTATAGACTGAGCTCGTTCACGTTCCGCAGCCCTAAGAATTTGGGCACCTCCACTCGCACGAGACAGCGATAAAGTTGTCAAGACGCACTCCATATCTGTAATATATATATTATATATGAGAACCAACATCACACTAAATATATAGAAATTATTAATAAGTAGTCTTAGTGAAAATCCTATTTAGTTGTTTTATACAGGGTGACTGGTGAATTACTATCAATATTTAAGGAGCATACTCGGTACATGATTCTCATTCGAATTATGTAAAAAAAATAGGTACTTAATTTTTGACCAAATTTCCGTATAAATAAATAAAGTGTGTACACGTTCCAAGTGTTCCAAGTGTGGACGCGTGCGGCGGCGTGCTGATACAACACTACGCCGCCGCCGCGTCTGTGTGGGTGTGAGTGTATACCTAATCTGTAGGGTGTTCATACGATGCGAAATTAATTACATAACTTTTGGTTAACTTTACTTAGAAGTTTATTAATATTTATGTTATATTAATTTTTATTTTGTCATATATGATCGTCAAATATCACGTCCTCAAATATCGATAGTAATTCACCAGTCACCCTGTATATGTAAATGTAATGTTGCTGTTTGCAGAATTTATGAATTCCATGCAATTCATATTTTTAATTATGATTTATAATCCTACTAATATTATAATCGCGAAAGTTTGTGAGTGTGTGTGTATGTTTGTTACTTCTTCACGCTCAAACGGCTGAACCGATTGTGATAAAATTTTGTATACAGGAAGCTGACGTCCAGGGATAACACATAGGCTACTTTACATCCCGGAAATGCCGGAAATCCGCGGATAACACCGCGGGGCGCAGCTAGTAATAAATAAATACATAAGTGTTAATAAGCTGTTATATACCAGTGACGTCATAAAAATCCGGTTTGTATGTCTCTCCTGTGGAATCAGATTTATCTTGTGAGAGCCAGCGTATTTTAATTTTTCTTGTTGTCCGGTAAACATTTTGCACAGCCTGACACACGTAAAAGCCTCCTTCTGCATTACGAACCGCCAAGTATTCGTTTCTGTGAAAAATTTCAGAAAAAAGCATGTATTAAACTATATATCTTAAACATTAATTTATTAAGAGCATTCTTAGTGAAGAAAGTTATACCATTATAATGAATATAAGTTTTATTAAAATTCTGTACCATTAGAAATTTTCAATAAGCATGCATACCTTCACTATCATAATTTGCTTTTCCTATAAATATGTTATCAGTAGCTCAAGGTTATTTCACCAATATTAAATTTAATGTTTTTTTTATATTTTTGTATTAAATATTCAATATATGTATTCAACTTAATTTCAATGATACCTCAAACTCATTACAAATTCTTACTCAGTCTTATAATACCCGATTTTTATATATTAATATTGAACTTAGTTTTAATGAATATATAACATACTTGTAGAATACAATGAGTTTGTCATCATTCTGTTTTGTCGGTGTTGAGCGTCCAGCCGATGCCGATAATTTGGTGGCCATCGCGATTTCAGGGGTCGGTGACTGGTAGAGTTGAACCTATAAGTAAATAATACAATAATTAATAAACTTCAAGACTGAGATTCTTTATTTTTACCATAAGTTTACATTGCCAAACTAAATACAGAAAGTTTTAAGTATTTAGAGTATTGACATAGGTATATAAAGAAAACTAGACTATTAGGTTAAAAACATGGACTAAGGGTCACACATTTTCAATGAAATTCGGTTACTTTAATACTGGCAACTATTAGTTTGACAACACAATTTTGGTAAGGCATATATATTTTCATCACCCTTTTATTTGGTATGTTTTAAGATAATTTTCACATATAAAAATTTATATTGCAAGTTCTTGTATATTATGCTTTAAACATGAACATGTGGAAAATGCATAAACTAAAAAATATCTCAATCCAATAATTTTCTCATACTTATTGTAAATTAATTAATAATATGTTGTAATACATAATATATTACAACATATTTGTTTAGTCATACATTATATATTAAAAAATGTATAAAAAAATGCTATAAAAATTATGTATGCACAGATATATCTTGAAGAAAAAGAAAGGTCAAATATGTTTATGTATTGATATCTAAAGCATGAAGTTTTTTTTATATTATTAGAATTGGTATTGTAAATACCATAAACAATTCATACACTTTTAATTTAAGGTTACTATAAAGGTTTTATATAAAAATATATATTACCATAGATTTCAGGTAATAAAAATTTTTTTGTCTACTCACTTTAGTCCTATTTCTCTTAGTTCTTGTGTCCGGAGTACTATCGCTTTCGGCCACTTTTTTGGCGGGAGTCGCTTCTTTATCGGAAACCTGCCTCCTTTTTCTCATAGGTGGCGTCACCGTTGCCAATTTTAATGTTGGCTTTGATGTTTTCGGCTCAGCTTTGGCTGCATTTGGCTTTACATCAGGTTTGTTTTCCACCTTTTCGTCTTTCACTACCTTTTCGACCTCCGGCTCTTTGGGGGATTCTGGTTTTTTTTCTGGTTTTTCCTCGATTTCGGGAGCTGGTTTCTCAGGTTCTTCTTTGTTTTCTTCTTTAACAGGTTCAACCTTTGGACTTTCACTCTCAATTTCAGGTTTAGGAGTAGGAGGTTTCTCTTGAACCTGGTTTTCATTTGCCGATTCCGGTACAGGTTTGCTATCGCTCTGTGTCGGTGCTACATCGGCTGTTGGTGACGATTTTAACTCAGTCGGCTTCGATGGTGACTTCTCTGGTGGTTCATTGGCAGTAGCCACTTTAGGTTGAACCGGACTATCTGTCTGGCTGACTGGATTTGACGGTTCAGCTTTCGGCGGAGAGCTGGCTGGCTTTTCAGGCGGTTTGGTTGTACTTGGTGATGTTTTGGCTATATCTTGCTTATCTTGTTTCTGTTCAGGGTTTTGAGGCTTTAATGTGACCGGTGCACTTGACCCAGACTTCGGAGACTCAACTGTACCATTCGCCGTTCCTGTCGAATCTGGCTCCTTTTTCTCCGGTGTTCTAGTTAAGGCTAGAGGCTGAGACGGGGTAGATTTGCTCTCTTGTACTAAGCTGAGTGGAGAACTGGTAGTAGCACTTTTACTTGGACTTGCGGCGATATTCGCTGGAGTAACTGAGTTTTGTGTAACGTGAGACAGGTTTCCGTGGTGGCTCATGTTCTGTGCCATCTGAGCCATGTTAGCAGACACGGGTGCCATCGAGGGCGCGGCGTGTGAAGGGAGCTGTGGCACTATGACGTGATGCACTAGGTTCTGACCAACCAGGTTATTTGATCCGTGATGCAGAGAGTTTTGCGCGCCTTGGGGCAGTCCTACTGCGTGGTTAGCGGTCGCAACATTCCCCTTAGCGGGACTCGACTGGCCGGCAGCTTGAGGGACCCCAGGCTGGGGCAACACTGGTTTTAAAGCAGAGTTCATATCAACTTAAAACTCACTTGCTTCACCGTAGTTAAAGCTGAAACATAAAGACTGTATTTACACTGTTGTTGATGCAACTTAGAACTCTACGATGTCTTTGACCCAAAACAATAATTCATACATAATACGACTTGTATCTATGTATAAGCGTACGCGCGCAAGAACGCCGCCAAGGTAAATTCTTTCCGTTTTATAACACTTTCAACAATGTCCCGCGTTAAAAACTAAAATTATTAAGTTCAAACATTACCACTAATACAATTGTTGGAAAATGCTCATGAAATCGCAGTATCGGGAGCGCGGTAGAGATAGCCGCAAAAAATATGCGTTGCTATAGCTAAGAAACTTCCGCAAGATCGAGATCCTGCCGTCAGTACTGATTGGAATATAAAAGTCATCAAATTATAAGAACAAGCACATGACCTCACTCGCGACGTAATATTTCCATCGTAAACGTTTTTAAACACAAATTAGCATACACGAAATACACTTAAGTCATCGAAATCTTTCAACAAGTATTATGCACAGTAGTTTAGAGATGGCGTCGGCTAAACGCGCATGCGCCACCCTCTTTTCTAACAACCAATAACACTTTAGTGAAATACGAAGTCTTGACGATGTATGTCGAATGTGTTTTGTCTTCTTTTTTCACTACGACACATTCGTTTGTCTCTTTCTTACCTATTAGTGATTCCGAAGCGTTCAGTTACAATTTTTAAATAAGATGCCCGACAAATTGAATTCAAAACAACCTACAAAATAAAAATTCAATGATACCAAGCAAATGAACAAAATAGTTCTAAAAATTATTAATTAAAAATAATTTGTAGAAAAGATTTTCTACAAATTATTATAAACTCATTTTAATTTCAGATAAATACACCTATTATATATTAATAATGTTCATTCATATTTGAAATTATATAAAAAAATTAAAGCCTCTTTAATTTACACAAATATAGGATATCCTATTTTTATAATCAGTGAAATAATTTTTAACATGAATGAAAATTTGTATTTTCGAAGACAACAGTTATATTTCTGTGATTGTATAAAAAAATTACCACGTCATGTATTTTTGTATAATAAAAAATTGTTATAAAATTGTCTATTATGATTTTAGTTGTGTTACAATGATGATATTATATTTCACCACAAAATTATATGTTTCAAACAGAAATTTGTCAATATAATTTCTCTCTTGATACCTAACCTTAATTGTTTTTCATTATATCTTAATTTAATCGATACCAAACTTCGTACACTAAGGAAACTCGTAGACATACGGCTCATATTTGGTTAAAGCAAATACGACTACATCTCTAAAATTCATCCAAATTTCAATTTTGAATGTTCTATTATTGAGATATATATAATTCTTTGTCTTATTACTAAAATGAATGAAATGAAAATTCAAAGCATTAGGTTTATTTGTTTATCTTAATATATTTTTAGCGACACTTTCGTAATAAAAAAGATTTAAAACAACCTTTATAATACGTTATTTCAAAATATGGAATAAGACTTTTGTTCCTATAAAATCTTTTGTTTACCCAAATAAATAAGATAAATCATAATTTTTATCATAATTAAACATTTCTTGTTAATTATTGTGTTTATTTTTATTTTTGATGATGTTATTTGCTATAATTACTATTTTCCAAATATAATACGCGTGCTTTTTCTTGTAAAAGATTAGATTCTCCCAACGTTTCGGTTACTTTTCAGCAACCGTGATCATGGGCAGACGAGATGTGAAAGACATTAATATTGTTTAGTTTGCTAAGTTCGTTACATTATGATGTGTTATTTTTACGTATTTATCTTTTCTTATTATATATTCCACCAAACTTACAACTTTTCTCTGTTTCTTTGTAACTTATCCTTACGTTGTCTGGAAGAGACAAAATAAACCTATTTATTAAGTTCTTTTCGGTATTTTTTTCCTTTTTTCAGATTTTTCTGGAATGTGGTGTAAGAATTTAAGGATTTTTTATTTATATTATATTTATTCTATATCTGGATTTGACATTGACGGTCTTCACATTCCCGGTCATGAGAGTTAACTTGTTAAGACATAGGTACCTACCTACTGACCAACTATAAAAAAGCATATATTAATTTGTTTTAAATATTAAATAATTAGTAAAAGACGCAATTAGAGCCATTCTTAGTTTTTAATTGTGGATTATATCTTTCACTTCCTTCAATAATGGCAAGTACATATAGTTATAGTAAATATTTTATCTTAACTATTATTTTTTATTTTTATTTTGCGATACTATAATTTTATGTATTTCAGGACGTGTTAACGAGACCTGCTGAGGAGTTCGGTAACGATGAAACCCTCGAACATCTGTGGGCAGCTAGAGCTATGGAACACAGCGATATTTACTTCAATGTAGGTTATATTTCAAATTTTTTTTGTTACTAGTTCATTGGAAATTCTATTCTATGAAATAGTATTTTAGTTGTTTTTAGTTTATTTCAACAATATCTATAGAAAAAAGTTAAAAAAAAACCAATGTATAAGAGCTGAAATAATAAATTTTCAAACTTATAATTTTCAGGTGCTCTGTTCTGTGGACACAAGATGGCTTAGATTGACTCCGCATGATGATCTGATATACACCCATTTTAGACAAGACTTTCCCGACCTCGATGTATCCTACATAAAGGAAAATGAGATCAAGAATAATGTTAATAAAGCAAGGTGGCGTCTATTTTGTGAAAAGTTTAAAACAATCGTAGAGGATTACAGTTTCGGTACTTTAATGCGTGCTGACACTAAAGGTGATTATTCAGAACAGAATACCATTTTAGTGCCTCGTGTGCAGTTTTATGCTATAGAAATCGCCAGAAATAGAGAAGGAATGAACAATGAAGTGAAAAAGCATTACAAATGTGCATCCAAGGCCCACATGGAAATTCACAATAAAAGTGAAGTCGCTGCATAAATTGGCTTCAGTTTGAACTATCTACTATGAATTAGATTCAATATAAGCTTATATTCATTACTCGGAAACAGAATTTGTACCCATTATAATGAACGGCAGCTTATGACAATAAAACCGGTGCATGTCAAAGTTATAATAATTTGCTACAATCGTCATTCTTAATATAAGTTGCGGGTCTAATATATTATTTTTCACATCAATTTCTTATAGTACCACTTGTTCCTATGTGTAACTGAATAATTATTCTATGATGAAAACAATATTGTTAATTAGTGAAATATAAAACCTGCCATTTGTTAGTAAATTAAGCCAAAATATATGTTAAAATATGTTATAAATGAATGAGGTGCTCAATTTCTCATACATTTTGATATTAAATTTTTTTAACAACTCATTTTGATGTTCATTACTGATAACCTTGTATTTATTTGAACTTAATTTTCATGAAATGGTATCAAAATATTGACAAAATAAAAGGTTTTTTTCACAAAATATTTTGTACTGTTTTTATTTATTTTCAGGACTTCGGAATACATAGTCTTTTTTGTTACAACATCTATAACATGATAATCTTAAAATTAAAATCTAGACATCGAGAAGTTAAATGATTATTCATCGTCAATAGTTTCTAAAGGATATTCGGTCATGATGAGACCTCGACTCCATAAAGCGTCAGATATTTGAATCTTATCAGAATCACTCGGTATATCGAGATTTTCCACAGAAACGTATTCCGGGTATGTTGTTATGAGGGTTTCGATAGCTGGGGCTAAATCCTCTTCAATTTCCAAGAATGGCAGTTCAGTTCCGTGATATTCCAAAGAATTTTCAGCATAATAATACAACTTGATACGTTCCTCGGAAACAATCCTTAAAATATTCTTACGCAGTAGTCTTATCCTTGTGTCGAGTCCAATTTCAACTCTGTTGGTAACTTTACCGTTTTCTATCATTACATCCGAGTCACCAAATACAGTGACAGCTTTCTCAAAATCACTTAAGACGGGAGGTAGTGCATCTTGTTGGAATTTTTTATTCATCTGATCGACAGCTTCGTCTATTGGTAAGTAATCTTTGATCTTGTTAAATAGTCTCTTAACTATCTCTTCCATTTCTGCTTTACGTGGTGTGTTTGTATCGGAATGGACCAGACCGAAATGGTCGTAAATATCGAGAGGTAAACCTTCTCTGAATTCTATATTTTCATTTATGGCAATTTGTAGAGCCGCTGGAATCATTTTTTCTAGCAGATCTGCCCAGGCATGCTTTTGATACATGCTGATTGTAACATGAAGTGAGTGTTCACCGTCAATTGTCACCCCTTGATGTATGTACCCCCTCGGGAAATATAACATGTCGCCAGCTTCTAAAACGACTTCTAAAACTGGTTCCCCAATCTCGCTTTCATCAAAATTTTTTGATGGCACCCGAGGTAATATTTCGCTCTCATCCCTGGGTTTATAAATGCGCCAATGCTTTTTACCTTCTGTCTGTAATATGAAAGCTTCAATGTCATCGTAGTGTGGTGCAAAACCCTGGCTATCTGGCGGTGTTAGATAAGCATTTGCCCCGACGAAGGAATTAAAGAACTCCTGTAGTGTTGCATTCAATAAATGCAATTGTGGCACATATGTTTGAGGGTTCAATAACCTTATGCTGCAGCCATTTAAGTAGAAGTCCCAGACGAGGTGTGGGTTAGCCCGACCTTCAGGATTATGAGTTTCCCGCTTGCCGTCCACATATGATGTAATATCAATATTCTTTGTAAATTGAATATTTTCTGTCCTCAGCATGTTATCAATGACTGGTGTAGAGATAACATCTTTGTAGTAGTCGGGTTTCTTCCGAGCAATGTGTAAAGGTTTCTTCTCCCATATTTCTTTAAGAAATTCATTAGGATCAAACGGTGTGAGCATCCATGTGAATACTTTAAGACCTTCTTCCTTACTGTGAGTTGTGACCGGCGTAAACTCAAAACCATCACTACTTGAACAGGAGCACGCACTATCGACCTCCGGCTTCTCGATTTTCGGTGCTGGCACGAGTTCTGGAATTTCCTCAACGATAGGTGGTTTAGGGATTTTCGTGGTCTGTTCCACTGTTATTTGGTTGTTGTTTGAACTGCAGGATTCCATATTGGGTGCCTGACCATTCATTTCATTTCTGATGACTTGCTTTGATTTCTTTTTTTTAAGAGATTTTTTTTTCACAATGTTCTTTGATTCCTTGAGCTTTTTCTGCTTTCGTTTGAGCTTCAAACTTAATTCTTTCAAGGCATTTTCTTTCATGTTTTTAGCTGAGCCATTCCTCGAGACCGGCTTCTTAACCTTCCTCTTTTTATTATTTGGTTTTTGTTTATTGTTTTTCTTGGACTGGTACACCGCAAAAGCAGAAACCGAGGGATCCATTTTTGATTCTGCGCAAGTTCTTAAATTCGTATTTATTTAATGAAAGTGTTTATTTACAACTTTTTTTCGAATAAATAGTACGGTTTTATGTTAGTTCTTGACTTTGGATATCAGCTAAATACAATTTTATTAACGAAGGCGATTGATGAACCATTACCGATGCACTGATACAACAATATGAAGAAAACCCTCCGAGTATTGATTTTATTATGACATTAAAGGTTATACCGTAGTGCCTAACCTCTATTAAAAAAGATGTTTCAAAATTGACACATAACTTGCACTAGTATATTATGTCAAAAATCAATAATTGTTTTGCATAATTTTTTTACATTATTTGTATCTAATTCATTTACATGAAATGGAAAAATTTTTACATATATATTTTAAAGTCCTTTGATATAAGCAATGGGGATCATATATTCATTTATATTTATATCTTTCTAAAGGTCTGAATTCTATTTGATGTTTTTGTTACTTTAAGATTTGTTAATTAAAAAATATATATATGGTTTCTGAACTTTCTTGGCATAGACAAAAAAGCTTTTTAAAATCAATCTAATATGAGCAAACTGAATACAAATTTATACTTGAAATATCTTGAAAACTATATCCTTATCTTTATTAAAATACAAGGAGGTACGAATACTTAATTTTATAACAATTTGTTTCAACGGTGTTTGTTTCAATGAATGATTCTTCCACAAAAATATTATTTTTAGAATACCATTGTTGCAAATTAATATTTTTGATTTTTCTTAAGAAAATATTTTGTAGAACTTGGAATAATGAATAAAACTATGTTCAATTATTTTGATTGACAGTTACTGGTAACCCATGACAAATTAATGAAATACACTACAAAATATGTGAATATACTAATAAAATGCAATGAAGATTGTTAATTATGAAAAAAAAAATATCGAAAGCACAGAGCAATATATCATAAAATATGAAAGTTTCTACATTTTTATACATCCGTCATGAATGCCAATGTCAAGTCAATCACAATTCCTAACCTCAGTTGACGTGCACTAGATTGCACGGAAGAAGGCCCTATTTTAAACAAACAACAAACCTTAGTTGACCACTGTCTTTGGAAGTTGATGTTTGTATTCAAATAACAAAAATATATAATCACTCTAAGACGAATTTTTTAAAAATTTTGTACAATTTCGTTATTAAAAAAGATTGGTTTGTTTTGTATATTTTCGATGAATTTTTATATTTTAATCACGAGATCAATGGTAGATAAGTTAATCAACTATTAATATCTATATTAATATGCCTATTTAAGAAAACGATAATTAAAAATTCTGCAACGGTAAGCAGTACGGTGTGCTTTGAAAGGCTTTGCCTTTCAATTCATTATTTAAGGAATAAGTCAAAACAGATTTTACATTATTTTTTTATATTTAAAAGAGAATTTTATAAATTTTATAAATTTAAAATATTTTGTTTTATTCAAAGTAAAAAGCCTTGGTTAAAAGATAAAGAGTATAAACAAATTCTTTGTTACTTGTTTGAAATTCCGCATTTAAGCTTTTTATTTTTTGTTATATACGTACTTAAAGTTAGGTTCAACGCTTAGGTATTTCCAAGATATATTTAACAATCTTTATATAACGTGTTAGGTACCTATATGTGTATTATTATCTTCTATATATATAAAAATGGATTGCTGTTCCTTAGTCTCGCTAAAACTCGAGAACGGCTGAACGGATTTGGCTAATTTTAGTCTTGAAATGTTCGTGGAGGTTCAGGGAAGGTTTGAAAGCTGATTTTTTTTTATTAATTTCCGGGAAAACCCTAAAAACAGCGCTTTTTTATTTCCCATGTAAACGGTTTTTTGACATTAGATTTGACAACTAATATGTCAATCATTTTGTCGCACTTCAGAACACGGAGATTTATGGCTTAAAGGTAAACACCAAAAAAATAAATAAGACATAATTTATTTCTTGAAGTCTGCCGGGTCAGCTAGTTTGTATTAATATATTGTTCAATAAGTAAATAATTATGGATGATTGTTTTTACATATGGATTCTCTACCGAAAATGGTTTGTGATTCATTTCTTGTATTTCCTCTCATTCACGGCCGTAGCTTTGTTCTCAAATATTAAGGATTATTTATTATTACATATTAAATATTAAAATACAATTTTTGAACTACTTGGAACTTATGTCACAGGGATAAAATACCGCTTACACAATATCATAGAAGTTTACTATCATTCTGTTAAAGTTTATTAAAAATCTGTTTGCTGTTACCTGTGGTAACGAGTAATAGAGCTCTGGACAGCCATATTGTTATGACGTCATATTGTTTTTGAATAGCGTTTTGAATAATGCCGCCAAAATTTTTTTTGTGTAAACAATTATGGCTACTTGTTTTTGAATTTCAGTGTCTCGGGCGCATTCATAATATAAACTAAGGTGTCCATTAATTTTACTCCAATGCAAAAAAAATAATTGAATATAAATTATAAGGTTTGGTAGTAATAGTCTTTATAAACATGTTACAAAATTATCACAATATTGATGGCGAAAAATCGTTAATTAAAATATGTATATTAATTACGTTTTATATTTTTATGAAAATAGTTCTAGTGAATGTGTGTATACTACTGAACTCCTAAACGACTGTATCGATTTTAATAATTTTTTTGTTATGCATGTGGGTACGCGGACGGAGTCGCGAGCGAAACTAGTATAGTCCAATCATCTATGCTGTATAGCATAGATAATATAAATGAATAGATATGAATATAATTACATTATAAATATTCCAGTTTTCTTCTATATGTATTTTTATTCTACAGGTACATATTTTGTATTTAATCTGTTTTCATAGTTTTTGACACTTATGTGGTAAAAATAGTGCTGTTAATATGGTGAATCGAATTAAAAGCTAACTCTTTTTGTATTGTAATTTTTTTAGTCATTATTAAGAATCCCTGAAAAACACTAGTTAAAAAGAAAACTATTTATGTGTTTTAATACATTACCACTTCAGTAGTTATTGATATTTTTTTACTTTAGTTTTGAACAAAAAAAAAACGATATTTAAATTAAAAATATATAACTTACTTGGTTTTCATTGTGACGCCATTAATTAAGTTTACTTCGATATGATAATAATTTGAGAAGTACTTGAAAATAATATTAAGTTTTAAGTATTGTACCTATATTAAATCTCAAAGTTGTCATTTGACTAATTTCATTAATAATTTTGACAGTTGTCTGATAAAAGAGGTTTGATAGTTATAATCTATGCAACACATTACTACTTAGGAAATAAATAAACAAAAATATACATTTAAAAGATATATTGAAAATCAGTCACCTTAATCTTATTAATAGTTATTCATAGTATATATTAATGATTATTTCTTCAACCTCTACGGTTTTTGAAGTGTTGGTAAATCTCATGTCCTGTGCCAAGAGCTCCAACCGCGCCCAAACCTTTTTTCTGTAAGAAAAACATATAATTACTTTAACTATTTTATTTACTAAAGTAACAAACAGACTCTTTGAACATCTACATATATAAAAATGAATCCCTTTTTCCCTTAGTCACCGTATCACGCGTGAATGCCTTGACCGATTTCAATAATTCTTTTTTTTGTTGTATATGTTATTGTTGAAATAGTGTATCAAAATTTGTTACTGCTAACGCCATCTATGCAAAGTATGTAAACTGTGTATCTGATATATTGTCAAAGTTAAATTTGAATAAATAGTCAGTTGCGAATACTTGACGCGTCTTTATAGTTATTATTAGGAGAATGTTCTTATGTAGGAAAAAATTATGCGAAAATTAGTAGAAAAAAAAAATAATATTTCACTTTTTTATTAACATAATGTGTCACTCGCAGTAGTATTCATGGTCTAAGATCCCGATATAAGGCGACCTTCACCGAGATGTTTATTTGATGAAACATATTTTATATTCAATTTAATATGTCAATAACTATATTACATATGGGTTGCCTCATAAATTTTAGTCCAGGATATGATTAATTAACAATTAAAAATAGATTTTTTTTCAAATATTTCACCGGTTTGTTTATTAGATAAAATCCACACCAATCGAAAGTACGGAGCCCATAGAATATGAAAACGTTAGGTTGCCTATTCTTTTCCAGTCACAACTCTCGGGTTGCCAGGGATAAACAGGTACATCGATAGTAGCATTTTGCACCGGTCTGTTAATTTAATCAAATTTAAATGAAAATAAAGATTATTTAATTATGAACACGGTGAAATAGGGTTGCCTGCGAAAAATCGGTCCTAAATTAGGGTTGTCGAATTTTAAAAAGTAAAATATTGCCGCGAGTGAATATGTACGACTGAGAGGTCCCAAGCAACTGTTCCGTGCGTTAGAAGAGGACAGAGCATAACAGCTGCGTAAGGTCTTCCCATTTAAAGAATTTTCATTTTTTTTCGTTTTTTTCTAATAAAAAAAATTACTCTAAATTAGTATTACATATGTATTGTTATAACTTCTTATTTACTATCTTCTTCTTCTTCTTCCTGGCAATTTCCCAGCCTTAGCCAGGGTCTGCCTATATATGCCTATATATATGTATATACAGGGTGACTGGTGAATTACTATCGATATTTGAGGACGTGATATTTGACGATCATATATGACGAAATAAAAATTAATATAACATAAATATTAATAAACTTCTAAGTAAAGTTAACCAAAAGTTATGTAATTAATTACGCATCGTATGAACACCCTACAGATTAGGTATACACACACACTCACACACACGCGCGCGGCGGCGTGTTGTTGTATCAGCACGCCGCCGCACGCGTCCACACTTGGAACACTTGGAACGTGTCAACACTTTATTTATTTATACGGAAATTTGGTCAAAAATTAAGTACCTATTTTTTTACATAATTCGAATGAGAATCATGTACCGAGTATGCTCCTTAAATATCGATAGTAATTCACCAGTCACCCTGTATATACATATATATAGGCA